TCCAATACACACCTGTAGTTAGACCCCTCATTGAAGAAACCGACAACAATGTCTGCCCGCCCCATCCCCACTATCTGACGAAAATGAGGAACGACATCCTGAGTATGGTCCAACTGAGACTATTGTTCCTCTAAGATCTCTTGATGAGCTGGTCTGGGCGGTGATCCTTCTGCAGTGGGCACCATGTATGGGTGTGAGACGGTGAAGAACCAAATGATGTAGTCATCAACACAACTCTAGTATCTCAGCCTTCTGGTTTCCCGAGCCTCGTCCAGTACCATGTGCGTCTGGTAGTCAGCAAAGAACTCGTCTATCTGCCTACGGGTCAAGCCAAGAGGAGCGGAGACAGCTAGGTGTTTGAGTATCGTCTATGTGTACCCGAACTGTCGTATGACGTGCTCCAAAAAATATGGAACATTGATGGTCGAACTACATGCCAACCATCCTGAGAATAATGATATGTTATCAAACGGACACGTCCCATGGTGATCGGCCTAGACGTCATAGCGGATGTCCTTAGCAAAGAGGCGATTGAGATAGACTCTATAAGGGCCGACCGCCTAGTTCTCCGTGAGCGAGATAAAGGCACGGGCACACGGAATCTGCTTTGTATAGTCAGGCACACTCCCTCACCCGAAAATCATGGGAAAGTGTTGGAATATCCAAGCCTGAAATGAAAATAAAAAACATCTGGATCAAGCATTATCATGAATATATAATGAAAAGAAATGAAAAAAAAAGTTACCACAAGTAGTGACACGCTGCATGCCACAGTTTTGGTCTTCCACATGCATCCCTCTCCTAGTATCTAGTACATGTAAGCCATGGTAGTCGTCTCTCAGTTGTACTCATGGATTCGTGTGGAATCTAAAAAGTACCTCAGGTAAGCGACATCGGTATATGTGGACAAAGTGTCCCCATGTGTGCCGACTAAAAATAGAAAATAACACCTCAGCACCCGATGTATGTGTATCTCAACCTCACCTGGATCATCATCTGTCTGGCGTGCATAAGCGAGAGCCTTGCAGAATCTACGTGTCAGAAAGGAGAACCGCATATGAGCCATTCTGGTCTTATCCACCTCCTCCGGCGCATCCACTAGATCATCCTCAAGCTCACCGATCAACATCTTTGTCGCCTCCTCTTTCATCATCCTAATGTGACGAAGGAGGTTACCCCTGATCGATATATGCAACATATAAGAGATGTCGTCTAGTGTAATAGTCAGCTCTTCTTGCGGTAGATGGAAGGAGGACGCCTTAGGATGCCATCTCTCTGCAAATCCCGTCAGCATCCCGTTATGGATCAGACTGTAATCGATATTACAAAGGTCCTTCAAACCAAAGGCGGCAAGGACATCTTGGAACCAAGCCTCATGTGGCTGCTCCAAAGATAATATCTTTCGCCCATGGTTGTAGAACTTCTGCGGCTCACAAGTTTGAAAATTTTCCATAAATAAGAAATAATGTTAGTAATCAACAATGGTAGAATTTATAAATTTCCAATGAAAAAAATAGAAACAAACTGAGTAATGTTACCTCTCCATCCCAGACATGGCTGGCGGTATGGTCAACATACCCAGTCAGCAGGGACATATCTAAGGGACCCTCTCGGAAACCCTCAAGCTCATCATCATCATCGTGACCATTATCCTGCGTTGGTGGGTCATTAGCCTCTAGAGGTGACACCGGAGCGACATCATCGGCAGGATGAGGAGCAGGAGTATCCCGACGATGCCTGCGGGATGATGGGGCCTATGATGAGCCCTCAACTGAATCCCTACACCTCCGAGATGAAGAAGTCAATGCTGGGGTGGGATACGAGGTCGGTGGTCTGGCTACGCTCGTGTCTCACAAATGCATGCTGCGAAACCCGTCCAAGACGCAATCTGTTGTCTTTGTCTGCCATAATGTCTGCAACAGAATAACTAAGAAAAAACAATTAGATACAAATAAATCAAAAAAACAAAAAAAAATTAACATTTTCTACTTCCGGATATACAAACCCGAAACAAGTTCCGTAGATGTATCTACGGAAGCACCCAGAATTTACAACGTTTGGGTTGTTCTGGAGCTGCATCTACGGAAGCGCCCTAACGTTAAATTTTTTCGTAGATGTAGATCTGGAACAACCTGCAACTCAAAGGTTACGGCAATGGCGTCCCCTACCCATGCAAATGTAATTTTTGAAGCCTTGATCGTCTGTTTCAGCCAACAAATAATACCTACATTATCTCTAAACTATGTATCTAAAACTATCAAAGGATTTCTACCCCTAAAATAATATTCTAACTCGTTTACGAGAAATACTCGAAAATAACTCGAAAACTTACTGATTATATCAAGCTTTGAATGTGTTAGTGTTTCTTGATCATTGAAATGAACGCTCCTTGTCAAATTTGATTGAAAATAATGAAGTTTGGTGGAAAAAGATTTTTTAGTTAAGAAAGTTTGAGAATGAGAAGAAAGATGAAGAATGAGGGAGGAAAAGAGACTCTGGCACGTAGGTATTCTAATTTGTTCTGGAACTATATAAATGGAAACCTTCTGTAGATGTAGCTCTAGAAAAAACCAACGTTGAGTAAAAAAAGGTGCATCCGGAGATACATCTCCAGAAGCATGGGGCATTTTTGGAAACACACATGGTGCGTAAGAACCCCAAGGGGTGGGGTAAGAAGTTCTCTTTTCCCAAATCAAACCATTTCTAAACCACTTTCATAACTCAATTCGCCTCGCAAACGCAAATCAAACGATTAACCCAACGTCCATCTCTTTTCATAATCAAACTCAAAATGACTAATTCATGTTTTGGCCATTTTCAAATAATAACAAAAGAAAAGGGTTACCTGAGTGAAAGGTCCAATCATAGCTCTGAGTATTAAGCCCCAGAAATGAGTATGCTTTATCTATATCGACGTGAAATAAACAAAGGATTCCACCTCCAAGAGCGAGCAAAAAGAAAAGGTTTAACCACTCGATATGTCTAAACCATCACTCCTGAAAAGCAACCAACAAATAGTTATTTGCTACAAAGAACTATGTAGCCTTGAGTTCTCCATCGCACTTTAAGATACGTAGGAGCAGTATTTTGAAATCTTGTGAGACACAATAATAAAAAAACCTTAAAAAAAATTCTTTCTTTTTCTCGCTCAATAAGTCAAAGAAAACAATTAACGTAATTTAACAATCCATTGCAAGTTTAACTAAAAGGTTCAGGTAGTACAACGGACGTGAGGGGTGCTAATACCTTCTCTTGTATAATCGAATCCTGAACCTGAATATGGTTGCGATGGTCATTTCTTCTTTTAAGGATTTTATCTATATTTTGGTTTTCTTATTTGGAATAAATAAAGTTCGGTGACGTCTCATCGAATCATTTTTTCGCAAGCATGCGATACGCTTCGCGAATGATCATATTTTTCGAGATGCGACACTGGTCATTTTTTATACATGCTTAGAATATCTAAGTCTATTTTTCACCATCTTTTCTACTATAGGTGTTACTTCAACACTATAATATTTTCTACTATAGGTGTTACCCCAACACTATAATATTTTTAGTTTTAATCCTATCATGCCTAGTGTTAATCACACATTCAAAGTAACTTTCTAATCTCTACTACACTTACTTTATTTTTGTGTTAGATTTTTAACCGTTCAAACATTCTACTTGTTTTCTTTTCCATTTCAACCCGTCAATTTAAATTTGGTACTTTTCATCCCTCTTTGTATGATTAAGCTAAGATAAATCAAACTTTTAAGTTTAAATTCAACCATACATATTTTACCTTGATATATTTTCACTCTAATAGATGTGATAATTGGAATATATGAATAAAGAGCAACACATATATTAATACTATGTGTCTCAATAAATAGTGTAGCATATTCATCTAGTGCAGGTTTTATTTGTCTTTTGGAAGTGGCAAAAAAATAATTTCGGAGGTTTAGAATTTATTTTAGAGTGATTTTAGGGTTTGGTTTTTTTTAAGTAGTTTATGAGTTTAAATGTAATCTTTATACTGAAATTTATTATTTATTGTTCAACTCATTTTATTTCATAAATATATTCAAATAAAAATCAATTTTATTAAATTTAATTATGTTAAAATCAATTAAATCAAACTCAATTGTGTCTAAATTAATCATATTCACGCCAATTTAAATACACATTTAGTATCACACTATTTAGTATGACAACATTCTTAACTCTTTGGCGGAAGTAGGAATGAATTATACAAGTAGACATCACATATGTGACGCACACGTGCAAACAGAGTCCTAACTCTTAAGTCACCACATTGCCCAAGGAAATCAAGTTGGTCCACTTGCTCATTTTCTAAAGAGAAACACACAATCTTGTAAACCACTCATCCCATCAATCATCTTGTCGTTTAAGAAACAAACCAAAACACTATTATTCACATAACTTTCGTATTTTTCGCTTTTATTTTCTGCCATACCTCACAAACTTATTAAATATAGTATCTTCTTAATATACTATACGTTGCAAGTTGCAGAAGAATTAGGTGAGATATTTTGCAATGCAATATTCATGAAATTCCCTATAGGGCAATCTCTTATAGTTGTTAGAATCTTAGGACCATTTCCTCTTTACTTTAATGCATTATAATGCACTTTGTTCATTTGTCATTTTATGCTACTGTCAAAGAAAATATCAATCAAATTTATATGCAAAACACACGCAATCTTTATATCTATGTTACTATTATACATCAAAGTTGCACTTGTACAGTTCCAAACAAAAGCATAGAACCAGACACAAAAAGAATCATACAAGAAACACAAAGCAAGCATGATCTTCGTACCTCCTAGTGTTCATCCTAGGAAATGAAGGATCAAGTTACCAAAAGAATATTACGACAAAAGGAAAATATTCTGTTTTGAACTATAGACCAAAAATTAAAATGAACACTGTTATATACACGTGGTTTCTTTTAAAAAAAACAAAATCCAAAACTTTCCTTCACATCTTGTCCCCTAAGGCTGCTGATTTGTATCAGTTGTTGTATCACTTGCTTTGTTAGACCATTGAAATTCAATTTCTAGATTCCTTGGTGGTCCACTTTTACTTGCAGGCAACAGAGTGTATTCGCCAGCTACGGCTCCGAGCATTACCACTCGATCAATTTGGATTGTTACTTTCCCAAATTTACTCTGTCGATAAATCACAACATAAGTGTTAAATGGAAGTGTTAAAACAAGATAGTTGAAGTTGAATTTATATTATATAATGCAATACTTAGTTTTCAATTGGACTTACCTTTCCCACTTTGCTCTTGTTTTTGCAAGAAATATGAAGCTTTTGGCCTTTTGGAGGACTCTCAAAGGACCATGTAAAGCTCTCATCCCACTCCGGATTAGGACCAGTTGAGACAACCTGATCAGAAATCATCATCTATATCAGTAATTTAGTATACCAAATTTTGGCAATGTTGTGTATTGTTAAAAATAAAAGTTCCATCACAAAAAATTGAAAGAAAATAGATTAGTGTGAAAACATAAAAAACAAAAAATGACCTTGGTGAGCCTCGGCGGATTATGACCAAGTGTAATCTTGCAGTAAACACTAGGGACTCCAACAGACTGTTTCATATTGTTACCACGCTTGACAATCACCACCAATGTCCCTGGCAAACACTGCAACAAAAATTCTGCCTTCTCCTGAAACCGAGGCGGGCCAGACTGGATTAAGTACTGCAAGAAGGGAATAGCATCCGCAGCTGCAATTGACTGAGCTCTTGATACTTCGGCAGGGCATGCTGACCAAGCTTGTCTGAGCAGGAAAAGTGCATCCAAGGCAGCTTCCTGACAAGCCTCTGAACCTGTCTTTAAGGATGTTACCAGATGGGGAATGCTAAGTGTTGCCGGTTCAGTTGCTCTAAGCCGCGGAAAGTTGCTAAATAGAGAATTTAATGCTTTCAGATATTCTTCGTTCACAGTTCCACTCGCCCATAAATCTTTTTCAATAGTGGCTGCAAGAAAACAAAACAGTTTTAGAGCATGCTTAAACACATTAAATCTGAAGAGATGCGATATTAATTTAGTTTAGAATACTTTGATCTATTATTAGAGTAATGTAGTATATCATTAATTTAGTTTAGAATACTTTGATCTATTATTAGAGTAATGTAGTATATCTCAGAAGTATTGTATTATAATAATAAGCAAAGGTAAAACTCACCAGTGATTGCTCTGACAGTTTCACTAGAAGCATACTCTTGAATAGTATTATTTGAGAACAGAAGCTTAATAAACATTGCAGCCTGAATCGAAGTTTCAGGATTACTTGAACCTATCAGATCCAATACAACCTGAACGCCACCGGCCTCTGCAACCGCTCTTCTATTTGATCGATTGTACATTACAAGATTTTGCAAAGCACATATGGCTACAACCTTCATTTCTTCTGTGGGTTGGTCTTCAAGCACGTTCACTAAAGCACGACATGCAGAAACCGCATCACCTGTTCGAGCAAGAGCCTCATTCTGGAACAAATCCCCAAGAGCCAAAGTTGCCAATAACCTTGCGTGCTGTGCTTGGGTTTGCGGGTCCAAGAGATACTGTGATAACGGTAAGATGGCTGATTTAGTAACTTTCGTTTCTCTTATCTTAACGTTGTTCAGCAATACTTCTAAGAGTCGTGCAGCGATGTCCTCACACTGGTGAGATCTAAGGAGCTCCAAGAGAGCCTCTATTGCACCACTTTCGGCCATAGATTCTGCACTAGTTCCATCATCACTTTCCAAAACCAGAAGCGCATTTAATGCACCGACAACTGTGCTCTCTGAGCCAGATCGAAGCAACTTTACCAACACAGCAACAGGCACTTCCAAGTAGAATTCTGAGCTAAATTGCAGAATACTTGACAAAACAGACGCAGCGGATTCCCATAAAGCATGTGGAAGTGAAGGATCAGCTTGCAATATCACTTTGGAAATTTCAACAACACCACCCTCTTTGGCAATTTCGTTCGGCCATGTCAGTGCAATACTAACTAGGGCCTTTACAGCTCTCTGCTGCAATAAAGGTATACCAGAACTGAGAATTCTTATAAGAGGGGCAATTACTTTCGGTGTCACTGGATCCTTCTGAAAGTGTTCTTCTAGGAGCAGATGTGAAAGCAGCTCAGCAGCCAACTGTTGCACTACTGATATCGGTGAATCAAGCAAAGGGATAAGAGGTTCAATAGCTTTGCGAGAAGTCAATGAATGGTCAGCACGACACTGTGGATGTTCTACAATATTAACCAAAACCTGCATTGCACTGTGCTGTCCGTCGGGCGCAAAATCGTGCCTTGCCAACAACAAAAACAAGGGTTCAACAACTTTGGCGGCCAATGGTCCTTTAGCTATGGTAGCATTATTTGTTAATATACGCAATAGTTCTGCAAAAGCTGCACACAAAAAGTCAGGTGCTTCGTGTAAGATGTCCAGTATGCTTTCAATGACTCCAGCTTTTACCATTTCCATTTTACAAGCAGGTCTGTCTTTTCCTAACTTGACCAGAGCTCTGGAAATGGCCTCATGAAGTACAAAGTTTCTACCAGACAGTAGACTAACAAGAGGGACAATTGCACTGTGTGTGGCAACTAATTCAGCCAGTTGCTCATCGTCAACAAGTCTATCCAGTGCCCGGACAATTGAATGATGAGCAGGACTGAACTCGGGTGCAAGGAGAGAGACTAGTGGTTCAACGCATCGCGTAGCAGCCGTTGTGGACCGAATCCTTGTATTTCCAAAAAGAGCACAGCATAACTCAGCAGCGTCCCCTTTCAGGTCCAGTGAACAATTTGACGAAAGGATCCTATAAAGAACATCCACTGCATTCATTTCAACATCTGCAACAGCAAGTGCTCTAGATGGGTTTTCACTCAGTAACCCAACCAATGCAGCAATTGCAGCATGCTGCTCCCTTTCTGAACCAGTGTTAAGAATTTCTACCAAGGGTTGAATAGCTTGTCGAGCAATCTCAGCATTTCTAATGTGGTCAGCAGAAAATAAACTTTCCAATGCTTTTGCAGCACTAAACCTTGCAGCTCTTCCTCCTAAACGTAGGACAGCTATAAGTTGGTTAACAGCGCCAAATGCAGAGTCATGTTTTCGTATATCAGCACTACTAAAGAGAATTCCTAGTAGATCTGTAGCAGCTTCTTCGGTTGCATCTTGTGGACCAAGGGAAAGATACTTCGTAAGAGCCTCTAAAGCTCCAGATTCTACCATTACAGTCTTATTTGACGGACAATCTCTGCCAAGCTGAGTCAAAATCCCGAGAGCTAAAAATGGTGCCCCTGGGCGACCCGGAATTGGTTTGAGAAGATCAACTAGGGCAGGAATTGCCTTTCGAGAAGTGGCACCAACTCTTATATCATCAACTCTAAACAACCTCTCTAGAGCCACTTGATCAGGATAACGCACCAAAGCAAATTCCTCTGACAATTCCAGAAGATCCTGCATATCAGTATCAGCACGGCCAAGCAAAGAGATAAGTCCGCCTGCTGCCCCAGAATTTGCCACAGACAGAAGTGTTCCCCTGCTACCATTGCAAACAAGGCTCGCTATTGATTGTGCAGCAAAATATTTGTTTGCCGATTCATCTGACTTCAATAAATTGGCAAGTGCCGGTAAAGACTTTATGGCTGAATGTGCGCGTATGATATCTCTGTCTTGAAATAATATTGCCAACAACAAGGCACAAATCCACATACTGCTATCTTCTTTGTATTCAGTCTGCATGTTCACCATAAAGAAGCAGAGTTTATGTACACAAATAACATAAAGTAGAGTAATCTGTGGTCTTAATATTTCACACCTTAAGAGGTTTCGTGCATTTTTCACTTTTAAAGCTAAGGATGCATTTATGTGCAAATAAGTGAACATTTACTAGGAAAAATCAGAGCTCATCTCATGTCAGATACCATACGACACGTCTTTCAAAACGTCCCAAAAAATATGTGTTGAAGTAATGATGATAAATGTGGGTTAAATATGTGTTGAAGTAATGATGATCATTGTGGGTTAAACACATTAAATGCAATTACAACATTTTTAATATATTCGATAGTTGATGGATGAATGAAGGTGAAAGACGATTGGATCTTGTTTTAGATTTTTTTTAACGAAACAATTGCTCAAGTTTGGTGTACAATTACGATATTTTATAAATAACATTCATATTTTATTATATTTATTTTGTTTAAAAAGCTTTCAAAAAAGATACCGATATTAAAAAATATTAGTATATATAATAATATAACATTAATACTTTGACTATTTTCTTTCTTCACAATCTCCCTCACTTTTTAAAATACTTTTTGTTGTCTCATCCTCTTAACTCATTTGATTCTCTTGGCTTTCTACTGTTCACAACAAAAACCCACACTGTCTTCTACTCTATAAAGTATAAATACTATAATACCTCCAACTAATATGTTTCAGAAGATGAAAATAGTCACCTTGGTAAATTCTATGCAATGTAAGTGAGAAAATGATCAAATGCAGTGCTTTTATCAAGGGGATTCAGTTTAGACTGCAGAGGTTCTGAAACATGGTAGCTTTAAGTCATAACTAAAAACTCGGTGACTGTACTACAGCTGATTTTAGACAAAATTTCAAGTGGAGAGAAGTTGGAAGAGTTGAGGCATAATTTTCCCTATTAAGTAATAACTAATATCAGAGTCAGATGGACTGCCTGTTTCATTTTTCGCAATAGATAGGTAAAAGTCACTTGAATACCTGAGAATATTGTGAGTAACAATTTGAGATCTTGTCGGCGAGAACATCAATTGCTCCAGCCTTCATTATAGCAGCTTTATTTCTTTCATCATGACAAGCAAGAATAGACAGCAACCATATAGCTAAGTCAACACCACATATAGTGGAAGTTCCAGTCTTGGATTCACGGCCGTTGGCCTCTTCTTGTGTACGCCTGCAAATGCTGATGGATTCCTTGTCATCGTCATCACCGTCATTACCAAAAGAAGACTGTGCAGAAATAAGGATATCAACTAGAGACTGAATAAGGTTAGCAGACAAGTTTGATATATTGATATTCTCCACCAGTCTCTGATGATTTGGTTTTGCAGCACAAATAAGAAGGGCAACTCCACCAATTTTGACTTTTACATTTGAGGAACTAATTACCCTCTTAGCTATTGAAGATATACATCCAGAGGCAGATGCAACAGTATCTCCTAAAATAACAGGCTGATCTTTACACAATCGAGATAAAATCTCAATTGTTTTATCTTGCAATGACGGCGTTGAATTAACAATGCACAGTACTATTGGGATTATGTTTTGAGGGAATTCGGCTAAAACTGCACATGCTGGTTTAATATTTGCACCAGTCTCTTCTGACCTGGAAAGAATGACAAGTGCTTCTAGAGCCTCTGATGTGGAAACAGACTCATTGACAGAAGAGTCCAAAAAGGAAACTAACGCAAGAACAGTGCCGGCACGATTCACACAATCAGCAACAGCATTATCAACTTTCTGAGAATGTAAGAGGCGAGCGATAGCTGCTGCAGCACGTGTTTTTCCAGAATTTGAGCCTTCACGTAATACTCTGGTGGCAGGCAAGATAACTTCTTCTAGAACAACTTTCTTTGCTATTTCAGTATCCAAAATAAGATTCGCTACAGCCCCTATAGCCATCTCTGCCACTTCCAGAACTGAAGAGTTAGCTAGAGCAACTAGGGTGGTTAATGTATCTCTAGCAAGAGTTGCTACATCCTTGTTCTCTTTGATGGAAAGAAATATTGAAGCCAGGCAGTTTGAGGACTCCATTAGGATACTTTCAGATTCAACATTGAGCAGCTTCATGGCTGAACAAAGAGCTCTGACAGCAATGCTACTTTCACGCAAATCCTTCCTTGCTTCGAAAATTTCAGCCAGAGCTGATGCAGATTTTGCCTGAGTTTCTTCCTTGTTAGAGCTCAATAACATTATCACGGTGTCAAATGCATCACCTGGGGCACTACCTTCACGTAAAATGTCGCTAAGAGGAGCAACACAAAGCATACTTCTCAAAGCATCCAAAATATATACCTTAGAATCAGGAAGGTCGCTAGTCAATAATGCTGTAAGCTGACTGATAGTCGTAGTATCAGATTTATGAATTAAATGATTTATGGTCTTTGCTGCAATATCCTTCCCATTAGGACTTCCATTTTTCAATAGCCACAACAATGCAGGAACAGCATCGGCGCTTTCAACACAAGCACGTATATCTTCACTATGATTGCACAAATTCTTAAGGATTCTTGCCGAATCTTCCTTTGCTTTTGCAGATCCTGTCTCCAAAATTTGAACAAGCGGAGGTATACCACCAGCAGCAGTAATTGCCCATTTACTTTCATCATTTTCATTGGATAAAAGGCAAAGCAATGCAACTGCACATTCTTGCTGCTGTTCTGATGAAAGGCCAAGAAGAGATATCAAAAGTTGAACTCCTTCACGACCCTGAAGTGCGCGCCACAGACTGCCTTCACTTTTGCATAGTGTCAACAGAGCTTTTATAAGCTCGTCTTGCACTTCATTGGCAGCCATTGTTATCAAACCAACAAGCAAACGTTTTGCATCGGAATTCGCTAGTTTAGTTGAGAGTACGGAATTACCGTATAAACTAGCAAGAGCTTCAATGGTCCGTTCTAGCACAAGGAAAGGCAGGCGAGGTTTGAATTGTTTGAGTAATGTCTCTTCAACCACCAAAGGATCTGACGGTTTGGTAGATTCGGCCTTGTTATCATATATCATAAGAGCTGATGCTATAGCTCCTAAAGTGTCGGCAATTTGTGTAGGAGAAGAGCATGACTCGAGGCTTTGACCAAGGCTAGATATGACATAAGACAAACCACCTGAGATATTTGCTAAAGCGCACATAGCATTCTCTTGTAATGCTTGAGCACACTCACCCTGCATGAATTCTTTCGAAGGAGCTATGGTAGCATTGATCAGAGCAGGAATGCCATTAGAACTGGCTATCTCCCGCCTTGCCTCTTTGCACTGAGAAGATAGAGATTTAAGAGCACCAGCTGCTTCAGCTCTAACAAGGTCATCATTACCGGGGCCCAACAGTTTCAAAAGTTGTTTAGTCACCTCTGCGCTCAAGACCTTCGAACAAACAGATGCATCCTCCATCATTACAGAAGCAAGTAAAAAGCAAACACTGGCTAAAGTGCTAGGCTGCCCTGTTGCCAATAACTTCACTAATATGTCCACTCCTCCAGATTGAATTGTTGAGTTCCAGAATCCCTCAGCACTGCTGGAGAGATTTTTCAATGTTCCTGCCAATAAACTTTCAACTACAATTTCGGTTTTCAGGCCAGCTCGCAACTGCTCCCAAAGCACGGGTACTACTCCTTCAGTTGAAAATATTTTGGAACCAACGTGATCTTTTGCGCCACCTTGAGAGACAGCGTATATAGTCTTTGCAGCGGCAATTCGACCTTCAGTAGAACTGGACTTTAGGAGACCAAGCAATGGAGGAATACAGCCTCCAAGCAAGACTTTCACCCTCAGTTCATTTTCTTTACAAAGTGATCCCAAAACAGTTGCTGCCTGGATCTTCACATTCAACGAACCTGACCGGAGAAGGGAAACAAGCACTGGAACTGCCTGAGAATGAGATCCAACGGCACTAAATGCATTTTCACGCATATCTATCAGATCCAATAACTGCCTTAAGGAATACTCTTTTTCATGCACAGAAGACGAGCTCTGGCGCAGCTGCTCAATGCATTGGGCAACACTGGCCAATGTCCCATCTGGATCCTCCATGCTGCTACTACGATCTCTGCAAATGCAACCAGGTAAGAATGTAAGATGCCGAAATTTGGCGCACACAAATTTTACTATCATTAGTTCATAAACTGAAGCATTAAATTCAGATGATTCTTAATGCAGATAGTTATCTTCTATGATATAATATTCTATAACAAAAAGTATTCTACTTTTGATAATAACACTAATCCAAGAGGTACCCTCATGCGTGTTAAACACGTGCCTTATTTGGCTGCAAGCAGAAGAATAGACACTAATGCAAAAAATGTATCAACTAAAAGAAGTTACGTTTTATAGTTGGGACACATTAGATGTAATTAATCACTGATTTTTCTAGATTCTAAACGCATGGAAGGAAAAAAAAAAAAAAAAGAAGGTATATTTGAAGTTGTAACTTGAAACCAACCTCAATCCCATTTTCAGTACAGAATGAGGAGTTGGAGGCTCTGAATCTTGAGCCTTCCCGTCACCATTCCTATCCTGAAAAAAAAGATGGAGAATATCAAACAATCTGTCTTCATATTTCTCAATACTTCAACTAAAATATTAAAATAAGAAATACACAACCATGACTATAATATAGAAAGATCATACTTAAAGCATACATCACTTTTACTTCTTTTTTCTCTGCTTACCAACAAAACCAGTGAGGGGGTGGAAAACTAAGTAAAGTGTTCTATACGAAAGAGGAGATAAAACAGGAGATCGGGTTCTAACCGGCAATAGGTAAACCAATGTATATTACAACTTTATGATTATATTCCTAATCAAGAAAATTAAGTATTTTCTAGTTTTCCCCTGCACCCCACAAGTTGTATTGCTGAATTAATAATGACTGATATATTCTTCTATAATGAATGTTTTTCCCCAGCATGAGATGTACAGTTGCTAATGTCATCTCTTCTACAATAAATATTTCTTATCATTTTCCCATAACTGTACTTCTCTCTATCTACAAAACAGTCACAGATATGTTTCTAAGGGACAATTTAAGATAAGTAGCAGGAAAGTGGGGACTATATTACTGAATTAAATCTAATACGTTTTCTTCAAACTTTCTAACATTGTCAAACATCTAGTATAGTAGAAAATCAATCTGAATTAAACAGAAAATATCCAGATATAACCGACTGATAATAAGATCCCTAAATTGCATACTACACGCTTACACTGATCATAACCCTTTTAAAGTTTCAAACTTTACAAATCCCAAATCGTGTATGAAGGTACTAACCAGATCAGTGGAAGCATGGCTGCCGCTATTGGCGGCAAGCCTCCAAGACGATAATGTGGTAGCCAGCTTTGTCTTCTTCTCTTCACTTCAAGTCAAAATTGAGTAGACCCTTGTTCAGATCTACACTGAAGAGACACTCTTCAAAGACACTTCCTACTCAACACACAAATAAGCCAAGTCAAAAAGATGAATTAGAATGTAAATCACAAATATGAAGCAGAAAAAAATCATCAATGCAAAAACAAACAATCCGATCGAAAATAGCTAAGATCAACACTGAAATAGTAATGCAAGTTAAGTGCTTGATGAAAGTACAGAGTAGTAGAAGTAGGTAATGCAAATTTGGAACCTTGAATGGATGGAAATGCATCAATCTGTGTCAACTGAATTGGAATTTTGGTAGAAGATAAGAAGAGAGAGAGAGCGGAAGAAGAGGCTTTGGTTTAGGTAGGAGAAAGAGAAAGAAATATAGTTGTGGCTTTTGTTTTAACTTTGAGGGTAATTTGATTGTGTCTTACGTTTCTATTTTACTAATTTTCATGTTGATGATGTTATGGAAGATGCAACAGTAGTATTGAGGTGTGAGTGAGTGACTGGATCTGATCGGTCCACCGACAACTGCCAAGTCGAAGCTTGGAGTTTTTCAGCTGACAGGTTGGAGTCGGCTTCACATTCACTCCACTTAAAAGATAAAGAGTAATAAATATACACTAAAAACAATGCTACAAATACAACTTTTTTTAGTTTTAATTGGTTTTATTTTAAAATTTATGTTAGTAGACTAAGATTATACTTATGTATAGGATATACATGTCTAGAGTTTTTTTGGTAATAAACTTTGTATAACAAAAGTAAAAGTTATATTCTCCTTAATCTAGTTGATTATTGCACGAAAATCTAATGGTATATGCATGGATTTTAATCTGCAATATTTTTATTTATTTATTTTTAAAAGGTGAAATTATAATCATTAAATTATTATTATTATTATTATTATTATTATTTTATATATATATATATATATATATATATATATATATATATATATATATATATATATATATAAAAAAAACAAATAAATAAGATTGAAAGTGATTCTAATAAAGCGATGAACTTTAAAAAATTATATAATTTATATTTGGGACAACATTTTAATCTACATTGTAGACTTATCGGAACACACATTTTTTGTCGATTTTCATTTTTTAGGGTATAATCTACAAAAGTTTAGATTTGTTTTAATTCGAAATAAAGTTTTAAAAATTATTATAGTAAAATGGAAACACATGATCTTCTAAGACATGGTATGGTATGATGGTTCATTTTGCCTTCGCTTATAGAGAGTGTATGGAGAAAACCTAAGTATAATCCAAGACATTCTTCTCAATAGAAACCTTAACCACAAGTTAATCCTATCCAACCACAAACTCAGCATCTTCTATCGTTTCTTGAATGCCCGTATGACATATTATTAATGCTCATATTTCACAAGCATGTTGTTATTCGTATATGGCGTGTATATGTAAATATTATACAAAATTTTGATATATCACTTAGGCATAGAATACATGTTTATTACTTAATGTCAATGCATTTAGTTTTGCAATACTGTGGTACAGTGAAATGTATCAACCAAGGCCAAAAGATTTCATTGAATATATTTTAAAACGACATCTTCCAGAACATATTGATTACATCATATCTCAAAGATGTAGCACGGACCAGTTACACAAACAATCATTCTTGGGTTGTTGTCACCAATTACTAAGAAATGGCAAGTCGATGCATATTTTTTCCATTTGCGTATTGTGGACATGACAGTTATTTTGGATGATATGTCATATTTTTCCACATGTCCATCATTGGTCGATTGTTGGTGGTTGATTCATAGAGTCAAGGCATTAGACATGTTGTTGGAGAATTTAATAGATGATCGTGAGAAGGATGACAATGAGATACTATCAACCTACGGTTGTCGTGTGAGGTTCTAATGGCTGGAGAAATTGTACAAGAGTCATTCTGAGGTCACATTGACTCATCATGGTGATGAAAAGATTAGAGATCAGCACATGATATATGTGATTAGGTGTTATTTGTTATATTTGGTTGGCACAATCATTTTTATTAACAAAAGTGTCACCTATTGTTTACCGTGAAAATTGGTAAACAACCGCTGGTTTTCAAAAATGGTTTACTTTACAGGATTAACCAGTGAATCCTAGGACATGTGCTTTTGTAAAACTATATTTGAAAGTCTATGAACACTTCGAACAATGCTCATGATTGAAGAATGTTGTTTAAAGTTTAAAAGTAAATTGCATAATTTCTAAATGAATGGCAATAAAGAACTCCAAAGTAAATTGCAATAAAAAAGTAATTGATAAACTATAAATAACTTCAATTGAAATGAAAATATGGTGTTTCAGACGTACATTCTCAACGAACTCTTTTCTCAACACACTTAGATACTTTAAGTAATTTGTGAATATTTATACAATGATTGAACACACGAAATCCTCAAGAAAATGACACGTTTCACTTGCATGTCTTTAATTTTTCACAACTTTACATGCGTCACCTTTGAGAATCGGATAAGGACAAAAGACAGTTATTATCCTTATTCGAAATTCAAAACCTTCATCGAACGTAACTGTTAAAACAATATTAATGTGAGTTTTTGTTATCGTATCTGCAGATATTGTGTGATATTACTGTCATTCTACAGTTGGAATTGTTTTAAACATAGAATATAAAAGGTGTTTGTTTTGGTTTCGCAACACATCGATCGCATAAAAAGTTACAAGTAACGGTAAAAGTTTCAGTTTTAAATCGATTTATAAAAACTTGTCAAGATTAGGGCTCGACAATCCATTTCATACGTATTTTCTTAACAAAGCATGTGAACTCATTAACAATAAATATAATCACATATCCTCTCAAGATGTTTCATCTCTAAAACAAATTGTGAGTTTTATCATATTGATCCTTAGATAATCTATTAACTTAACTATCAATATGATAACATTAAATAATTGATATTAGCGAATATCAACTCACAAAACTATCTCTAGACTTTGTTTATTAATAGATGAAAAAGTTAGGTCAATAGTTGAAACATATCTCTCAATAATGATCAAACACAAATATTACATAAAAACAAGGTTTTTCACCATATATTCATCATCAGCTTATTCACATACAAAATATCAAGAGAAATACATACAAAAGTTAGGATTATCTACCACTAATCATGACACAAAAGTGACTTAGCTGCCCATAACCATGGTAGCTTGCTTTATAAGTTTCGGGAGGAGATGAATGAGCATCCACGTCGAAGAATCAAACTCAGATGTGAATACAGCTTCTATGTGTAAAATCTCACTCTTTGGTGAAGAAATCTCAGAAAATAAGGTTTTGGTGTGTAAAAGTAGGTTATGATCCCCAAAAATGACCAAAAGTACTTATATAGTACAACTAGGATATGTCATGTTCACACTGCGAACCGATTATTCACCTAGAGAATATCAAAATAGGCACCTGATGTGCCTTTGCACAGTTAAACCACCTCTGAGACAACTCTGAAGTTCATTGTGCGAATGATTATTCGCCTAGCGAACTACTTCGCCTACAAGTTCACACAGTGAACTTATGACCCTTTAGTTAATGCCTCAAATCTGGGATGTTTTGCTAGCTCTTCACTGACGTGTTGCCACAGCGAATCTTTGCTAGCTTGTTCGCCTAGCAAACTTACAGGCCTTTTGTTACTGTCTCAAGTCTGGGAGCATTCGCTGGTTCTTCGCCAGTTGTTCGCAAAACGAACATTTGCTAGCAAGTTCGCCCAGCAAACTTACTTATATTCTACTATTCCTTTGGTAACCTTGTTCAATTTTCTTGTGTCTTACACTTTGATGATTTAATGCCTACTTTTTGCATAATAACACACAAATCAAAGGTACCAAAGTTATTTTCAAACAATTAAAGAATGGAAAACTTTCAAGTAGTAATTCCAACAAATCAACACAAAAGAGTTGAAAAATGTCAATTATAAATGATTAATTTAAAGCAAGATTGACATATAACAAACTCTCCCTAACTAACTCTTTGTTTGTCCTCAATCAAAGTATGTCTCTCATTGAAAACAAGAGGATTTGCTCAAACATTTAATTCAACCAAGAATGGATTT